CAAGCTTGTCCTGTATAGATTTCTTGCTTGGTTCAATATATCTCTAACATACCTTAAATTGTATACATGTAATTCTCTCTTGCACATCAATCCTAGCTCAGTGCCATTTCTTTGTTTATTTAAAAGTAGGTGGTGGCCAATTAGAAAGCCTTCGCTACTTTGACCACCACACACATTTTTATAATCTGTACTTTATTTATTTTGTTCTGTAATCATTAATTTGTTGCAATTATACTTTTCTATGTCTGTTAATTTTATGTAAATAGTGTGAAATAAATGAACCTTGAACCTTGGTATCAATCAGTATACCTTTTATGTTGATATTTCTAACTTACAATTATTGTGTGAAATGACTACTAATGAATACTAATAATTGTGTGAACGGTCCAACACTTGTGTGAAAAGACTTGTGCAAAAAGTCTTTTGTGGTAAATGTTCGGTTACCAAAAAGACTATGCACAGTTAGGGAACTCCTAACATATTCTGTAGCAGAGCTGGTTTCAACTCTGACTGGATTTCATGACCCAATCACCTCTATTAACTATGTTTTTTTGTGAATGGGATACAAGATATTACAACGGACTTTGCTTGCCTCTACAGCTTAAGCCTTCCTAGGTAAAACTGATGAAGACCGTTCATGGTATCTGTTTTTCAAACTCAAATTGCCGCCATAATGCACTGGGAAAAAATTGTACTGATGACGTACTACAGAGCAATGCAATTCTATAGTTTAGCTTGAGAAGAGTTAACAAAATTATTGGACTCGGACAAAATGCTGAACAATAAATGTGACTAGCAGACAAACACTTCATTCAATAACCAAGCCCTTCTTAAGGAAATAAACAAAAAAAGAAGTTGGACTTCCTGTTTCCTCCAAACCCTCTCTAACAGTTTTTCCTTACAAACTAATACCCCATTCACACCTGAAAACTTGTTTAGTTAAACCAGGTTTAACTGAATAAAAATCAGAAGCAGAGAACTGAAAAACTAAATTTTCCACAAGATTCAAGCAATTGCTAAATTGTATTTTCAATGTGCCACATTTGAAGTGAACCAAATATTGATTTGAGCAGCTTCTATGGAGCTGCTGTGTTCAACCATGTTTAACAAAACAGCTTTAAAGCATGTTTAGGCTTTGGTGTGAATGGGGTATAAGTTAGGGATTTCTATACTTTCACAGAGTTCCTTACTCTGTAGAAACCCTGATAATAAAACTTAAGTAAAACAACACTCACTTCAAAAGCTCTAAAATGGCCAGAACGATGTCATTAACATAACAAAATCCTGAAGCCTCAGATTTTTTTGCATGATGTAGGCCACCAGCCCAGTTTATGGCTACATCTGTTTGCTGTTTATTTAGCTTCACTGCTCCAGCTGGAGAAAATATGACAAAAAATAATAAAATTTATCTACAGTAATGATACTGCTTGAGATTGTAATCAATTCAAATGAGAAGAGTACAGGAGAATGTTGTCATGAACCTCATGTCTCACATACCAATTGATCCACCTGTTGAGAGTTGACAAAACTCGAACAAACCATCAAAGACAGGGCAGTCCTCACCAACATTGACTGATATGTAAAGCAAAACAAACCATACAAGAAATTTATTTCTAGTACTCCCATTTTGCTTAATTAATAATTATTAATTGTGTACAAAGAACAATAACCATATTGCTTCTAGACAAAATTATTGGTGGACTATGATTTAGAGATGATATATCAAGGCATTTTAAACCAAATTGGCTAATGAAAGCAAAGTATAAAGACAGGACCATGAATGACAAAAATTCTTAAACAAGATAAAATGACACATGATTGCTCAGAGGTATCTGCCATTGTGATTATTCTGAGCCTGGAGTCAGTTATTTCCAGACAACATAAGTTCACCAATATTGTTAATAACACACCAAGCTACTAACTTAAAATTCTGGAATAAGAATGGTTAAAAACGCCAAATAAAAATTCATCTAGCAGTACATATTAATTGAGAGGGGGTATGAATCAAGCAACACTGTAAGTCAGTTATAATTGATATTCACAATTTGTTAAACAAAACTTTTAATTAAAGTGTAAACCCCTTATTACTGAAACAGCGTTCATAATTTGGATTATTCAATTTACCTAAGATTTCATCAACGATGTACAAAACTATGCTATAGTAACCAACTTTGCCAAGATATCCACTAAAAAAACTCACGAACTACTTACTGAACACAGGAAAGTTGAAAGAATGCAAAGGGAAATGAAAGCACATGTGTGTCCATTCAATAATTTTTTTTTTATCTACTCACATCTCTGCATATGCTTTGTGTGCTCGGACATGTTATCGGGTCTTATGGTCTTCAGGAATTTGATGTAATCATCTGAATGGTATTTGGTCATCTCGTCCAGGTTTGCTTTGTGTGGCCGCTGAAATGAAGAAAAATGAATAAGTGAACGAATGACATTTCATTCAGACGAAAGAACTGACAGTTTTCAAATCAACGTTTTCTCACAAATCTAAATCTAGCTTTTGCACTTACGTAGATCTCCATTTTCCTGTACAGGCCATAGTTAAGAAGCAAGTTATGGGTCATTCGAATACGATGTGGCTTCATGGGATGGCCTTGACCATAGTAGTAGTTACCGATGTCACCTTTGTTCGGAACACGAACAAGACATTAGAACACGAAGACAAAATTCAATTATTTCCGCTTAAAACTGAGGGACAAAACTTCGTACAACTCATCTTGAGTGCATTTTCTCGAGGTATATTGGACGTTAGAAACAGATTCGTTTCTTACCATCGTAATAATAGCAAACTCTCTTCTTTCCGCCAGAAGTTGTGTACGCCATGCCGGTGATAATTCTTGCTTCCTCGGCGCTTACTTTGAACGCGACTTAGACACGTGATCGTCTTTAGCCAATTGGAAAAGGTACATTTTGGTTAATTAATAAGATTTCATTACTTCTCAATAAGCCTGTCGGCTATTGAGCCATAAATGGGTTATAATGATAATCCAAGAAACATGTGAATATACTTTTTGTGTGGCTTACGCGAATTGTGTAGCCACATTATGGCAAGATCTGATTTATTTATTTATTTGTCCACGAGAGTCAAGCGCCTGTCACGTGGTCTAGTGTCGTAGGACGCTCTAGTCTGAACACAGGTGTCCCAAGCTCACGTCTCGAGGGGTAGTCTGGAAAATCTGGAATCTGGAGTTCCGCCGGAATATTTCAACGTCTGTTTTTTTAATTCAAAACGACTCCGATGATTTTCCGAAGAGTGTACGAGCTCCGAATATACTCCGATGATTAACACGAAGTATATTCAATGGTTTCCGAAGTTACCCAGAGAGCGCTGAATTTTTGAAGGCTTGTTTTTTCAATTCTTCTTTTTTCTTTTTTCAAGATTTTTCCGAAGACTGTACGAGCTCCGAATATATACTAGGAGGATTAGCCGAAAACTATCCGAGGGTCTCCGAAGTTACCCGGAGATCCTCGAGGAACAATCGAATCCCCGGCTTCATTTGTTTTTTATCGACTTTTTTTTATTTCATATTTTGTTTATTTTTAATTATTAACTTAACTATTTTTTAACGGCCGTGAAACTAAATAATAAACAGAAAATCATTCATCAAATTATAGGTTAACATGGTCAGCGTCCCTTTAATCGGATCTCGATTATTCATTAAAAGGGTACAAAGAAAATATAGAAATGCCTTAGTCAGTCTGCCATTTATTCAATTACAATCCCGGGAAAGCACTGCTTAACGAAAGCGATAAGCTCTTCCGTTAGAGACAGGCCTCCCTCATTCCTCCTCAACAGACTTTGCAAGTGGCCTGTATGGAACCATAGCACAGACATGCCATGTTGATATGGTAGTATCCTCTTTGTGTTCTTCCTAACTTCCAACATTTTGTGCCATCTAAGTACAGATTTGGATACCAGTCCACCTCTAAACGTCCAATGACTGCCATGCTATCAACAGGTTGAGAGTCTTTTTGAAAGCTTCCTTCATATCCGTTACATTTTGAGATCAGTTTCCTTTTAGCTTCATTTAAAAGAAAGGATTAGAAGATTAAGGAATGATGGGTTTCGGCGGTAAAGGAAAACCTTGGGGCACGGATGGTTGGAGTGGACGCATACCGCTAAACGAATGCTGCTGCGTAGAAGACATCGCCGGTGACAGCCTTTAGCTAAACATAGATGTCGTAAATGACTGTGGTAACGGCCCTGGGCATCCAAAAGGATGATTTTGGCCAGCCCCTCCCCCCCCCTCCCACTGCTGTGGCCACGTGAGACACCTTACTGGTCAGGGCAAAAGTCTGATGCTGTGGCGGTAATTCTGATATTTTCAGTTATTCAAAATTCAAGTTATTAATTCAAGTTTAACTCGAAAAAATATTTTCGCGATCAATTTTTAAACAACGGCGTCACTGACGTATTTTACTGCATACCAAGTCTTCACAAGGCCTGCGTTTTCGATCTTTCTTTGTTGTTCGGACGAGGAAAAAGGAGTGGGATATCGGGGTGGTTAACTGTCCAACCGGAAACAAACTGATCTGAATTTACCTAATATCCATGCACTTTTCACTTGGCTAGGACAAAATTCACCATCAAAAATTCCGTGTAACTAACATAAAAATAGATTCTTCAGCGTTTTCTTAATTCCTCATAGGTGTTCGACCATGTTCATGGGGGTTCGATCGTTCCTCAGGCCGGATCCTCGATTCATCCGCTAGTTTATTCGTTCGTTTGCTCGGTGATTTATTCTTTCGGGGACTTGGAGCAATCACCATTTGATTAATATTTACTCAATCTCAGGTCCAATCAGCACACGGACACGGGCTCCTCTACAGAAAAATTGACAACAAAGACAATGGTAGTTAATTTTTTTTTTTTTTTTCAGAACAGACCACTTCCTTATTTTTTGTCTGATATAGGGATAAAAGATACTCGGGAACGATGCGAGGAAACGCTGAGACATCGATGAGACACAATTGGACTATAAGGCTGTAAATAAAACCAAATTGTAACTATCAACAAGAATTAAGAGGATAAACGTCATGAATTAGTCTATGAGTTCTCGTCAAAAAGTGCAATATCTTGTAGAATCCTTCACTAATTTTTTGCCGGAATAATTAAGATTTATCCCAATTTAAAAGTCACAGTTTATAATTCATCGTGGCTTGAATCTTCAGGTTCATCCTCGATGAAGACTTTGTAATTTTTCATAATCTCATCCATGGTGAGTTGACCATCTTTGTCTTCATCAGCTTCTTTGATGAGTGTTTTAGGTTCTTCAGTGGAGAAGTCGTCATCAGGGAACAGCCAGCTTTTCATCTCTTCTTTGTCTAGTTTACCATTCTTGTCCTTATCAAAGTTGTTATTAAAATCCTTTTCCATTTCTTCTTTGGCGTCATCATTTACATCACTGAATGTAGCTGGAAAATAGAAAGTAAAAAAAAAAAAAAAATTAAATACTGTCACTAATGTAGGGAATGGATGGTTTGAACAGAAGCAAAGGAAGCTAGTGAGAAGTTTCTCTGCTAAGTACTAGGCAGGGTAGTTTATCTCACTACAAGAACATTTCTTTTACCTAAAAATTCTTTCTTTGATATTTGACCATCCTTATCCTTGTCATGTTTTTTGAGGCTATCTTCGATGGTAAACTCCGTCATTCTTGGGTTATCCTGAAAAACATATTAAAGCATAATAAATTTTTGCCGATTTTGAACAAATGATTTTTTTTTTTTTTTATGAAAAGGATTGTGGGCGTTAATCAAATCACATGTCCGCCTACCCCTGGGTGATAAAACGCCATATATTCCTCCAAGTCTAACTTTCCATCTCCATCTTCATCAGCAAACTTAAATTTTTCTTCATCTTCTTTCATTTGTTCTTTAGCATCTTCATCTTTACCGTCATCAGAGAAATGACCTTTTTTGAATTCCTCCCATGATACTTTCCCATCTTTGTCTGTAAGCAAACGAAAGGTAAACATAAAAAATCTAACCATCGGTGCTGTTGCATCTGAAAACCAACGCAAGTGGTCCAAAATCGGACAATACCGCCCGAAAACGGATGATACTGTCCGGAATCAGACGGTACCGTCCAAAATCGGACGCAAGTGTCCGAGATGGAATAGTAACGTTTGAAAACGGATGGAAATGTCGGCAATCGACCAAATCCGTCCGAAGATACTGATGCAAGTGTTCGAACAGTAAGCACCATGTACACAAGCTAAAACATAATGTTCTATTAAGCCACCAAAGGAAATATTGCCATAGAACTAAACTTCACATGTTTTTAGTCCAATTTGGATGGTTTGCTTGCCCTGGAAAATCTAAACCTAATTCTCACAACACTCTTGGCGGTCGATTAGTTCAGGGAATGAATTATAATTCACCCGTGAAGGCCATCAATCGAGAGTGACAAGCAAATATCCTGTATCAGATAAAATGTAGGAGTGTATCCTAACCGTCATCATGTTGTTTCATGGTTTCCATGACTTCTTTTTTCCTGTATTCTTTTGTAGTTACGTGGAATCGCTGCCTGATCTCATCCTCTGTCAACATTCCGTCCTTGTTCAAATCCACCTCATCTTTGATTAGTTGCGCCAGTTTGGTTTTTGCGTCCTCGGGGGAAAGCCCTTTGAATTCAGTGTAGTTGTCTCCTGCAGATGGTATGAGAAGATTCCACCCTTTAGACCTTAATAACAGTATGTATATTCTCCATCGTGTTCTCTACACATTACCTAAGGTGCTGACTAGGAGAATTTATTTAGCAATCAAGAGCTTCTTCTGATGGAAATTCCTTTATTGTCATGACCTTAATGTTTGATGTAAGGATGATATCGTAAGAAGGAATTATATGCTAGTCACTCTTAGGAGTTAAATGATAAACAATATGACAGTGGGAAATAAGGAATACCATTTTAGAAAAACGAAATCCTAATTCTAATAGGCTCGGCTACAAATCTAATTACGCATCCTTTCCCCACCCCTGATGCTGCGTTTCTACATTACCTTCCCTACCCGTCTGATGTTTTTTTTTCTCTAACAAAGAGGCAAATAAATCACCTGTGTCATAATGTATTCTCTCTAACACCTGTAACTAGACTTCAGTTTGTAAAGCAGTTTTGTAACATTTAGCTTTTGAATTTTTAATCGCACGAGAAGGTTTAAAAAGGACGATGATAAAAGTTAATGTTTCAAATTTCAAACTTATACCAGCTCGGAATGTTCAGCGACTTATTTAATTTTTCCTTCTTAAACATCGACTAAACGCCTAAATTCACCACTAATAATCAAAAATTCCTTTAAATTATTGCAAATTCAGTTTTCAGAGAGGCCATTTGTCTATCTCTGGTAATTTCGAAAAACCTTGAGGTTCTTTGATGTTCAAAGTTATTAAATGACTGCTTTGTCAAATATCTCGCGGGAGAGCTCACGCTCTAGATTTTTAAAGCTCTCCTTTTCATTTCTTTTCCAACACCTGTCCCAGTGTACTACTTAAAAACCTAGTAGGTATCCAATCAATATTTGCTACGAACTCTCGAAGTCCAATTTATTCTAAGAAGGCCTGGTTAAACTATGAACACCGAGCGATATTTTGAACTTATTTTCTATAAATTTATCTGAGCGAACAGGTAATGCCAATGGCTTACCTAAAAATGCGTCGTGTTCAAGGTGACTTTGATCATTCTCATCTTCTCCTTCATCATCTCCTTGACTTCCATCTTCTTCGTCATCGTCGCTGTCATCTTCCATTTTATCGTCGTCTTTTTCCTCGTCCTCTGTTTCTTCCTCATCAGCCGGATTCTGTTCGTCTGCATGGTCTGCCATTTCTTCATCGTGTTCGTCTTCGTCGTGTTCATCTTCTGAGTGTCCAGGTTTTAGATGATCATCTTCCGTGAAAACAAAACTCACAGTGATACCTAAAATCAGTAGTATCATGCACCAAGAACGAAACATATCGATCAATCAGATGTAGCGTTGCTATGCTCTAAGTTTGGAGTTATTACAGCTCTCTGTTCCTTATGCGATGTCCACACCAAGACAGCGAAGTTCAAATTTATGACACGTGTATATGGATTTCATGGCAATGCGTGCCGCTTTAAGAGTGGTAGGTAAAGCTAAACATTACCAGCTCTCTTTTCCCCGCCACAATGTTTTTGTTCTTATTAGAAGGTGAATAAATGTAACACCTTCATAAACATATCTGGCATTCATAGATTGGATGTGAAAAGAAAATCATTTAATATTTTAGCATGTAACAAATTAGCCACTGCAATTCAGCAGGGGTTCTTCCTTACGTAACCAAATGGTTAGACGTCCAGTATTTTTGCGTTGAAGTTAAAAGTGTTAATGTTTAGTTTGGTCGTCTAACATTGCAAAATGATGCTTGAAGAACTGACAATTGCTAACGAAGATATAAAATACTACTATAAGTGGTTTGAAAGCAGGTATTAATGGCATTCAATTAAATAATAATCTGACTGTTAATCAGAACTGACGAAGTAGCTGGTCATCTGAAAACAACTGCTTTATGAGAATTACTTCCTCATAATCTTCTCGAATTATTTTAATCTATAAAACTGTCCTTTCTGAGAGCACTGACAACTCTAGTTTTTTTGTTTGTTTAGCGGCATCCAAGTGAGAGGGCTAAATGAGACGAACAAGAAAGAGTGAAGTTGTCACTGACGAAGAAAGAGAAGGTTACGCGTATTTTGTCTGCGGAATCAAAGTATAAGACGGTGAGAATGAGGTTATGACCGCCACAGCAAGCACAGCTTGCAAAGGTAACGTGATAAAAAGGAAAATGATGGTAATTGATTAACAACGTTCACTGTAACACTGTTGAATAGTTCTGGCTATTTGGAGGTTTTACCTTAACAAAGTCCATTTTTTTTAACCAGATTGAGTAGTTACCTTGGTAACAGTTCCTTTGAATCGTTTCGTTGACTGTCAGTCAGAACGTAACTAAGGTTACGAGAGTCATGAGAGTTTCAGTCAGAGAACGATATCGAGGCAAGTGGAAGATACGTTCTCTTTATTAGGACTCGGGAACTGTGTACTATCGACAAGAAAGAATTGACAATAAAATATAATCAAGAGAACATAAACTCAGTTTATAATCTCTTGATATAATAAAACTTCTTTTCTAAAATACGCTTTCTATGACTCATAGTGAGAAGAAATTATACCCAGAAGGTATGCGCTGAGAATATTTTGAAGCCCGATCAGCCTACATAGAACTGAATGTTTTTGGCTCACACTCGAGAAATATTCTAGCATCTTTATAGTTACTCGCACTACGCCTCTTGAGGTGTGGTCAGGTGACAAATTGCCATTAATATAGAACTGTAATGCCATGGATTGTATAACATAGCTATGTCCAGTTAATTTTCAAATGAATATATGAAACAAGTGAAGAAATAAATAAAACAATAAACTAACGTCGGTAACTTGACATGGGAAGACCACTTGCAGGCTTTGTTAACACTTCAACAATCCCAATCCGGCAAAATTTTACAGTTCAGTACAGGAGTAAAATAATAAAACCTTAAGTATGACCTAAAGCTGTTCGACACGAGTCGTGTGTTCGATTGTCTCGTGCGGTTTCTGTCCTGATAAACCTTGTTCATTGGCAGCTCAAATTATGTAACTGAATTGCGATTTAGAATCCTTCTGTGATGATTTCTGATCTTCTGGCAACGTCCTTAGTCACACAAGTTGGATTCGCAGGATAATCATCTTCGTCGATGAAAAATTCGGTCTTGGTTGGTTTATGACACCACGTGGCAAATGACGATGCAATCGATTTACGCTGCACCTTGATTGAATTCCACTGTGCATTAAAGATTACTTGTCCATGATCAATACATGAATCAACATACAATCCAATGTTCGATGAGGCGAACACGGGCTTCATGGCTTTTAACGTTTTACTTCGGAATTTCTTGATAAGCTTCACTTCTTTCTTGGAACACTTGTAAGGAGTAGAAGCACAAGGGATTTCCCAGATGTGACTCAGCTGCCACGAGTCGTACAAAGAGTTCACGATAAACAGACGACTTTTAACGAAAGGTAAAAAGTATTGTGGGAAAATGCATTTCCAGAGGTCTTTTCCTGACATCTTCTTGACGCAATTTTGAGGGACCCCATCCGTACAGTCATGAAGCTTAAAAACATTCTGCATAGCCTTCCTGAATTTCTTCTGTTTTTTGTGTTTCCGTGAAGTTGTGTCGAGGAAAAATCCTGAATCAGCAAGCGATCTGAAGTGTGCATTCTTTGGGAGTTTAGAACGGACATAATCGGCGTGAAGCATGACGGCGAGTCCCCCAGCTGAGGTACCAGAAAACACAATATTCCTGGTCTCTTTTAAACTTGTGTCGGACAACAATTCCGATATGGTCGAATCTAAGATTCTGAAGCCTCTGAAATACAACAACGAACCTTCAAACTCTACTGGGTCAGATCTGTTTCCTGAAAACGACGAACCATCACAGTATGGGAGATACGCCACACTCCAGTCGTGGAATTCAGGATTTTCTTTAGCGTTGTTGGATAAAATTCCACCAGGATTGCCAAGAGGTTTGAAAAAGAGAGAAGACCCTAGATGCATGCGGCTCCTGCCCGAACAAGCTTGCTCACTCTCGCACCATGCCCCTCCCTGTAAGTAAATAATCCAGTTCTTACTTGCTTCACCAGATCCCTGTCTGACATAGTAACCCGGCGTGGATCCATCAAGGCATACAGCGCCTACTTTGTCAGCGTCTCTCACAGCGTGATACACGAAACCATTTGATGGCTGCTTGTAATATTGTAAAAGGGAACTTTCCTCTGAAGAGTAGGTTCCCTGTGGTGACTGTGGTGTTTCTGTGTTGATAACTGGGACTGATGAAGGATAATACACGGTTGGGTACTGCATAGAATACTGTGTGTTTGGATTGGACTGCTGGAAATCCGCGGTTGGAATTTGACTTTCACTGGTGTTGTCATGGTGTGATTCCAGTTCCTTTTGGTGATGGTCCAGGTGGTGACGATGCCGATGATGATGCCTGTGATGATGGTGATGATGATGATGATGATGATGATGGCGTTTATGTTCATGATGTTTCTTTACCTTTTGAGCCTCCAATGTCACATTACTAACGCTCCCGTTGAAGATTCCGCTGTCCGCATGATGACTGAGGGCTCGAGAGGCGCCTGCTTCTTCAATCGATAAATTCTTTTGATGTTCGTGATGATGATGATGATGATGACGATGATGATGTTTGTGTAATTGTTTGTGATAAAGTCGATGCTTTTTATTCTGAAGCTGCTTATGTTCTTCGCTGTTATTTCCTCTAAAAACATCTTTATCGAGCTTCGAGAGTATTTCTTTCATATTGTGTGTGTAAGCCTTTCTCTTGTGCTCAGCAGTACGAGCTCGGGACCCGTCCGAACTTGAGTCGCTTGTATCTCTGAACCCTTGAAACATGGAGGTTACATCTTCTCCCTCACCATAATGGTGACCCAAAATGTCACTCTTACTCTTCCCAGTCTCCTCTTTGTTTCCTTCAGAGACCAGTTGTCTTGCTTCTTCATCAGATATGGCGTCGTCCAAGTAACTGTCATCATCCTCTTCTAAATCTGGACCCAGATCCCCATCGTTCTTGAAATCTTTAAAAAGCTTGTCATACTCACTTTCACTGCCTCCCTCAGTAACCTTGTTTTTCTTGTAAATTTCACTTCTCTTCCTCTGAAATTCAGCTTCCTTTTCAACAGCAGGTGACAAAACCTTTACCTCGGCTTCTCCTTTCTCATTTTTATCAGCATCTTCATCATCTTCACTTCCATCGATGCTGCCGCTGCCGTCTCGTGCGTTTACTTCTTCCTCGGGAATTTCTTTTCCTTCAACCTCAGCTTTACTGTCCCCCGAGAAATCTGCATTCATCTCTTCAGGATTGTTCTCGGCAGAAGTGACCTGAGCTGTGTCACCAACTGCCTCAGGCGCAGAAGAATCTGTGGTGTCAGACTTTTGGATATCCACCATATAACTGTTTGGATAAATTCCACTCGCTGACAGGTATTCTTCATTAACATCCCCACTCCCACTGGGATCGTGCTCCTCATTTGGGGAAATACTTCCACTAGACTCCCCTTCGTCTAAGCCATCAGACTTCTTCTTATGCGACGATCTAGCTATGAGACTTTTTGCAAACTTTTGTTCCGTTTGCACTGAGCCAGTTTTGTACCATAAGTACTCGCCTGGTTTGCCAGACTTCGATATATCTTGTCGAGACTTCCCAACTTCTGATTTTTGAATATGTCTTGAGGAAACAAAAACAATCACTGCTAAAGTGTACACTAATTGTACATTAAACATGTGATGTGCCATGTCTGAAATAGAGTCACAGAGCTCGTCGAGCCTGCTACGGTAGAAACGCTCAGTTAAAATCGAATCAGACTTGTTCAAGGGCAAGTTCTTTGAACTTTTCCTGAGGTAATTTGATGTCACGCAGATCCCGGTACCTGTGTTCCCTCTTTAGCTCTTGCCTTGTTTGTTTTGATAGCAAATCATTAAAATAAAGAAATGTCGAGAGCTGGGCAGACTGATCTGTTGTTTGTTAAAACCAAACCAACCGCGGCAGGATCCACTGTTTGGTTCACAGATTGTTTATAATTAATCTTAAGTCAATGGAGCGGGTGGTTTAGTTGTGTAAAACACCACACCACCTGGTGACCTCTGAGAGTTCTGTCAGTAGAGAAGGTAACACTTTTTACTTCAATATTTACTGTTCTGTACTAAGAAATTAAAACAGCGATTAAGATGCGCGTGGTATTTAAGTAACCTGTTATAATACTCAGGATAGTTTCCAGTCTGATTTTCTTACGAGATGTTTTTTGAAATCCATATTTATTGTTTTTTAAAACAGGTCATCTGTTTTGAGATAAAACATATTAGCAATTTAGTTAATAGGGTGAGTGATAACAATCTTATGTCCCGTTGGTTGGATCTGTTGATTTGCCAACGCTTACTTCAGTCTACACTTAAATAAAAAGGACTGGCATATAGTGCTATGCAGTGAACAAATCTGACTTAAAAAAATGTAAACCGACGAAGAAACTTGAGGGAAATATAGACACAGTTTTAGTAAATTAGTAAGTGGAAAATATTCCAGCGAAACATTTGGAAGACAAATTTCGACATCTCTTGTTCCAAAACAGCGATGTAAATGACGCAAAAAAAATCAAGTAAAAGCTGAATGTCAATAATTTCTATCTTAATAGGGAGGTTAGTAAACTACTACAGGGCTTGACACTTACGGTAACCCACTGGCCACAGACTTGTAGAAATTCAGGTTTGGTTAGTGGTTTTCGATTTCCATTGTTAATTAGCCAGTTTGGCTAGTTAACAAACTGAAATGGTTGTAACATCTAAGATGTCACTTGGCTAGTAAGTTGAAAAGTTAGTGTCGAGCCTTGTACTAGTGTCTACATTCCACTCAATACAGGTGAATCATTCATCCAAGACCACTTTCCACTTTCGCATGCGGACAGGATGTAAAAAGACAGTTAACCATACAGCATATTATCCTTGTAGTAATTTTTAAGTACCGTTGTCCTGTTTGTTAAAAGCCTAACGGGCGTATTTATAAGAAGCTGGCTATAAGTTGGTAGTTAGCAATTCATAGCCGCTCTATAGCTCAAGACTCTCGTATTTTTCTGCTCAGATCTTTTCGCTAATTTCCTTGTTCACCCAGCCACGCCCATTCATTACTTATCAAGTTCATATGTCTGACCGCCATTCACTGTGATGGCTCCTTAGTTGCCACCACGTGTTGACCCTTGAGGATGATGGGTTCTTTTAACGAAGTCCGGCTGAGGTCTTCCATACTGAATACGAGAGTTAGTCAGTTGTTGTGGTGCACCAGTTGAAGATCGTAAATCACAGCAAACTCTTGACCATGTAGGGACCCTCCAGTTCGTAAACAATTTTACGGTAATAATTTCGAGTTCCAACTCCTAAAGAGAAAATATGGGTGATGTTTTCATTATCACATCCTAGTAAACTAGGGCTTAAACTCTCATGCGATTAATTTTTTAATCCCATGAAAGAAAATAATTATTCTTTCCCTCCTCGGTTGAGTTCACGTGATCTGCCTTTAAGGAGATTCATGCCGAGGAGAATCTCAATTAGGGATTCTTGTGCAACTGTACCTTCAAAGAGGTTTAGAAAATCCATTGTATCACCTGTCAATTACCCCTACATTTTTGCTTATTTCGGAGGCAAAAGTAACGACTTTCACATTTTTCGTAGAAAGGTTTCAGGCGTTGAAACACCTTTCCCCAAACAGAATGAATAACACATGTATCAAGGTTGCTGAGTACACCTCTGACTTCTGTCCACTGTGTCAGTTCAATCTCAACACAGTTAAATACCTGAAATAACGGCGATTTTTTGCGACCCATGCTCTTCGCGAGCAATTCTCTCTGCTTCTTCCATCAACAGCATTCCGAAACCCTGAAAAAACGAGATATCTTCAGTAATAAGCCCTTCCAACTACATTTCCCGACTGTCACCACCTCTGAGGGGACTTACTTGATGCTGAAATTTGGAAGGATCGCGGGCGCTGACAGGGACTACACTGCCATAACTATGGTAATACGTTAAGGAAAAAGAGATCAAGCTTGGGTTGGGTTGATTGCATTCCCACGGTCTCTAGTCGGCCAATAATAATTTATAAAAACCGAAAAAGTTTACAGTGATAAGTTTTTAGCCATCACGCCTCCCCCCTTCACACCTTTTTCGCGGAATAACAAAACAGGATTCTTGCAAATTCTGGAATAATCCTTTAGATGTTTTCGAGGAATGGATGATTCCACACGGGCTTGTTTGATGTAAGATGGTTGCAGCCTTCTCGAGGCATCTGCTATCTCACACAACACACGCTCACGAAAATATGAAGTATGACAATAGTAAAGTTTTAAAAAGGATACACGTGAAGTTCTCTGACGATGGAACAGCCTCCTTTCAATTCAGGTCTGAACGACGCCTCGGAGCACTTCCTCAATCTTAATAGGCCGACTAGAATATCTGTAAACGGTTAATAAAAACTGATCTTTCTCGAAATTTTCAACGAAGACACTGGTCTGTACTTGAGCCTAGTGGGACACCCAGCCAGAGCTTATCCGCTTTCCTTAGCATAAAAGACTAGAAGTATCACTACCGTCCCCTCCTGGATGGGATGTCAATCCATCGCACCCCTCTCCCCCCAAACATTTCATCAGGTTTCCTTGACAATTTATCGGTACCCATTTGTATTCACACCTAAAAAGGTTGCCCTGAGTAAAAACTTCGGAAGCAATATCCATTACTAACAGGAGTATCGAAAAGTCCATGGCTGCAGATGAAAATATCACAACAAAGCTCTGTGTTATTTGGTTAATCACTCATAAAGTTCAAAGGATATCTTGCTCGGGATCTTCATAGGACAGAAACGTTTCCCATCCACCATTCGCCACATAGTCTCGGCGAATAAGCTCAATCTGCAAGAGAAACATAAACAGGAAAATTACTGAGATGGCTCTACATTACAGTCATTCACACAGAAAAACATAAAAGAAATACTCTTTTTAAGAAAGGTCGTGGTAATGATTACATTCACTGATAATGCGGTGCTATCATTTATCTGACGATGTAGTCACTTTCCATATTGATTTTAAAAAATGCATAAACCATGACACCGCATCATCGACCAGATTTGTCAACTGTAGCACACAGAAAATACAAGAATGTGAGGTGTTACGATAAACTTAAGATCTGAGAAGGAAGCGGAAAAGAACTCTTGACATTGATGTCAACAACACACGAAGAATTAATTGGAAGCTTAAAATGTTGTCATATTAAATAAGCTTTGACTTACTTGAAATGGTCGAACTTTATGATGAATTTCCTGTATTCCAACCTCACGGGTTCGAACGTCGCGACACTAACATGAAATGTAGAGCAATATTTTTTATTGAAAAAAAAAAAAAAATTTTATTGAATTCTCCTTAAGAATAATCAACACATTGTTTACTGATAAGAAAAACATCACCGGCGGCAGTAGAGCTTGCTTTATGAATGAACACAGTAGTGGAATTACAGTGAGGGCAACTGAACCACATGAACAAAATCTCACCTGTGTTCCTAAATCCTTCATACGAGCTAGCGCCAGTTCCCTCAAGTTGCCGTGCTCGACACCAGAACTAACCAAAGGCATAGGGATATCCCTGAAACAAAACCAAAGACTTGGAGCGCGTTTCTTTTGAGTGTGCCGGTAAAACCCCGCGACCATCATCATCATCACTATCATTACAGCCAATCTGAGAAAGCTCCTGTTACAAAATGGTTAGCCTCAAGGTGTTACCACGTTCAACATTAATGATGTATTGAACAAAAATAAGAACAAACCAAATAATCCTGTTCAAGCTACAGTCCCCCCAAAAATATCTTAGTTGTGTTACCCTACTTAAGTCATCACAGTAACGAAGTCACAAAACGTCCGAAATCCTGCGTTTACAATTTCTACTCTTTCGTCAATCTCAAGATCATATTCCAAAACACACGCCGCATCAAATCCTTTCTTCCTTACAATGATAGCTTGAACCGATCTCAAGGTTCAAGGTTATCCATAAAGCTGGTTGCTGGAATTGTGATGAGTTCTACATTGGCAAAACAAAACGAAGACTCCATGACAGGAAAACAGAACATTTTAAGGCCCTAGCTAAAAGTGACCATTCATCAGCGATTGCTGATCGTGTGAAGACCACTGGTCACAACATTAAATGGGATCATTTTGACATTTTAGCGTCGGGAAAAACTGACTTTCACTGTAAAATTAAAGAGACTTTGTTCATTCGAGAGCTAAAGCCTTCCCCTAATGTCAATGTTAGTGGTGAGAAGTTGTTGTTATTTTAGCCAGTACTTCTCATTAGTCTAGACATGTACTGCTGTAGATTCTTTTTGTCTCAGTCTAGGTTCCAGACCTCTTACATTCACTATACATTGTTTTCAATAATTCTGACCGAAGAAACCATACAAAACTCAAAGTAATTACCAGAGAAAACGGGGAGGGGGAAGGAAAATCCGAAAGGAAATGATAACGTTACGATTGGTTTGGTTTTACATGTACATCTGATTGAAAGAGACTTCTGCAACTCTCTGCTATATGGTGTTACTAAGCGTCTACTACAAAAATTGCAGTCTGTACAGAACGCGGCAGCCCGCTTGGCAACGTGTTCCAGGAAATACGATCATGTAACACCACTGTTGAAAGATCTACACTAGCTCCCTGTAACTGAACGTATAAAGTTCAAGATACTCCTTTTAACTCAGTTTTTTTAAGTCCCCTCATAATCTTACGCCATCTTATCTTCAAGATCCCCTCGTTCGTCATCATCCCATGCGTTCACTTCGGTCGTCATCCTCTCAACGCTTATCTCGTCCAAATTACAACTTGATGACTCATGGCGGGAGAGCTTTCGCTGTCTCTGCTCCAGAACTCTGGAACCATCTGCCCATTTACATAACATCTTGTCGCAAATTGGAAACGTTTAAGTCCAGACTTAAGACATATCTTTTTGCCAAAAGTTTTAAGCGACTAAGTTATTTCTTTTATAAGTCACTTTATTCATTTCCGTGTACTGCATTATAAAGCGCATAGAGCCTTCGTATATGCGATATATAAATGAGTTGTATAGTTGTATTATTATAGAGAAAGTGGCGCGATTGTCTTCACCAGTTACTGGCCGTGGTGAAACAAAACCATGCGGAGAACCCGGATTATGTTAGATACTCAATTGAAAATTGTTCTATTAGCCTTTCACGCCACTCCTAAGACTTTTGAAGAAAACATACTTAACGTAAGTTGATTCACACAAATAGAACTGTGAATACTTTTCATGAGGGTCACCCCCCCCCCCCCCCTCACGTCGAGTTTGTCAGACAATAACAATAACAATATTTGTTTATTTCCACCATTTGCAGATCTCTCTGAATTACTGGTAGGGTCAGACACTACACTCACAAACATACAAATCTACGTGTATTTATTTAAGTATCTGCGTAATTATATAAATATAGAGATATAAATATAGTATAGTAACAATGTAGCAGAAAACGAATGCGCATACCTACGTACTGTTAATATACGAAGCACATTTAACTGATATGAACTCTGAGAAACGGTCAGACTAACCTTTGCACTCTGTAGACACGTGTCCAAGGTGGTACTAACGCTAAAATCCTCGCGATCAAATCCACCAATGTATTAGGAGGGTAACTCTTGTAGCGGCCGGTCTTCCATAACTCGTACAAACCTGAACACATCAGAAACAACTTGTGAAAGATCCCCCGTAAAAAAAAAAAAAAAAGAGAATAAACCAATAACCATATCGATCAAGAGTTTGGTTCGAAAAACATATATTTTGTTAAACCTTTCCCTATACGTTACATCGTCATGGACAAGCTTGGAGATGTTTGTCAAATCATTGACAAACAGAGAATGACAATTATAAAAGGACACCCGTAAACAGTGTTCAGTGGGACTGTGGAAATGTTTTTTCATTAAATTTCAATTTTTTAACACTCACCTGTACCGCGGATAACCAAGGTTGGGTAAATTTTCAAACCATCTGCGCGAAATGCTGGATTTTCAAAGAATTCCTAAGATTGTAAGAAGCAAACATACTGGTATTCTCATGTCAAAACGAAACATCAAATTGTTGAGATAAATTTCACTCACAATGAATTGTTCAATGTCTCGTTCCAGTCCTACATTAGGTAGATCAGGCATCATGTGTGACACGACCTGAAAACAAACTTGATCAAGTAAATAGTTTACCTCACTTTCCAAAACTAATAAATGTATATTAGTTGGAATTCTTTATGAGTAACTGAATTCACAAATTAGACTAAATTCACAAATTCTTGATGACTAAAAAAATCATTTGTTAGGAAAAATCTCAAACTGAATTAACAGCTTTACCTTGAATCCTGCATCTTTAGACAAGTGAAAGGACTCACTCACTGCTCTGACAGTGTGGCCTCTGAAAATAATGAGGAAGAGAAAATGTTTGCTTGTATAGTAAATATCTGTTGACAGCTCACATAACATAGTTAGCTTGTAAGAGAATAAAGTCAAGCCAAAATACTCATCACATGTGAGTTGGGAAAGGGTTAGGTAGTACACTGCTGCTTTGTCACCAGATCTTTTGAATCCTGTTTCCTGTCCTCACAGGTCACTGAATAACAAATGTCAGCATTTTTACTTTCTTCTTCTCTTTCTATACACCTTTGGACTCC